TCACCCTCCTCTAGCCAATTCCACCGAGATCTGGTGAAGGCACCTTCCGCCTTCTATTCTCTAAGTGATGTTTCTGATCTATGAGCTCAATTCTCTCTGAATCTGTAAGAGCGTCCATTTTTTTTATGTGATAAAGCAGTAATTCTAGCCATAATTTGGTCTTCCTTATTTTTTCTAGTTTTTGTTAACAAACTACAATATTTCCGACAATACTTCCCAATTTCAAATTTAAGAAGTTCCCAATTACTGCTAAATATATTCTCTTTATTAGCTTTATCCCAATAAAAGGAAATTAAGTTGTCAATTTTAGTTTGAACTTCATTATTATGAAGAATTGAAGTATCAAGTTTCCAATATGAGGGCCTTTTACTCAAGATAAAAATGGCCTTATGGTCAGAAAACAGAGAGGGAAATATATCGGTCTTAATATTTGATAATTCTGCTGAAGTTAACCAAAAATCAAGTCGGGATTGATTAGAAAACGAATTATTGATCCAAGTGAACACTTTTTGCAAGGGATGTTTCTCGCCACACATCAACAACAGAACATTTTTGCATAAAGACTAACAAATAGTCCGAATTAGCATTAGTAGGTTGAGGGGGAAATCTATCTAGGGTTTTATTTAAAACAACATTAAAATCACCACCAGAAATTAAGGAAGAGTGTTCCTAATTTATAAAAAAAAAACGTATCTTTTGGTGAATTATACCCATAAATATTGGCAATAACATGTCAAACTGTAAAGCAAGTAAAATGTAGTGACCATTAACATCACATTCAGTAAACAAAACCTTTCCACTAAAATGATTTTGTAAGATACAAACTCCGGCAGAATGTTCATTTCCATGAGACATCCACACTTCTAACCCCCATTGTGACCGCCATAATTTGACATCTTGTACAGTTGAATGAGATTCTTGCAGAAAGCAAAAGTCTGTGTTAAAACGTTTAAGATACAAAAAAACTGCCTTACGCTTAAGAATGTTACGTAGCCCTCTACAATTTAAAGAAATAATAGAAAAGGACATAAGAAATAAAAAAATAAAAGATCAACAAGAGAACGAGACCTAAGAACAAGTAAAACAATGAAGTATCACTGTAACAGAGAACCCAACTGCTCAGAAACTTCATGAAAAGGGATGAGGACAACAATCCCTTTATATAGCTAGAATTAAACGAATCATTTAAGCACAACAACGTCAAAAAGGGGGGAGAAAAGAGGGAAAAACTGGATCAAAGTGAAGTCCTAGAGATGCTGTGGTCCCCACAACAATCCCAGAATCACCTCAGCAAAAGCAATCAGGGTGGATCCAGTCAAATCCATTAACTTTTAGACTGGAGGAAATATTTCCGTACCATCTGTAAATGCGCGTCCTCCGACGAAAAAAGCCCAAAAAGAGAACTTTTTCGGGCTTTTTCAACTGCAGGCCATAACTTAATCCTCCTCGCTTTATCAGCCGGTGACAGGTCTTCCGTGATTTGCAGCCGATTCTCAGTCAGAAAACCAGCATCCTTGGCGGCACGCCAAACAGCATCTCGGTAGAAGCGCGAGGTGAGTTGGAAGATAATCCCGCGGCCTTTATTGTGTGGGTTAGGACGGCCAAGACGATGTGTCACATCAACGACATCGGGGAATGTAGCAGAAGGCGTTGACACACGTCGATAACCTCCTGACGGACATTTTCTCGTTCTTTCTCTGGAATTCCGTGGATTCTCAAGTTCCATCTACGAGTGTACGCTTCCAGATGAGCCAGCCGTTTTTCTCGCTCAGAGGAATCAATCTCTTCTTTTTTTTTGTGCGCGAGTCAATAAAATCAACTCTTTCTTTCAAATCTTTAACCTCGCTGCAAATGAACTCAGTGGTTTCCATCATTCCAGAGATTTGTTCCGTATTCTTGCCGATCTCTTCTTTCATGTCTTTGATCATCCGTGAGTTTTCGTCAGTCAACTTTTCCAATCCGTCTGATCTGTTTTTCACCAACTGAGAGAGCTCGGAGAGTTGTGTAGAATACTTGTTGCATCTAACGTTACTTTATCTGTTCTCCTAACTTTACCAGCCGGAGAATTGCACGGAGTGTCGGGAAACGGCGGAATTACCTCCTCCATCAGCATCATTTCAGAAACATCATCTTGTTCAAAGTAATCGTGCAGATTATCCTTCAGTACACCGGTTGCAGGAGCATTATCACGACGCTCCATTGCTTGTAGACTTCTGTCAACATTACTAGCTGTAGGAGTACTCAACATTGATTTCCCGGACTTCTTTACACTTTTTCTCTTTTCAGAACCTCCCATTGTTGTTGTTTACAGAATTCAAGTCATTAATAAAGACAATTTCTTAAGAGATTCTCTTACGTTTCATTGGGATTGCAGACCTCACAAACATGCGTATGTTCAGGGCGCCATCTTGAACCCGTACAATATCAGGGAAAGAAATGATAGAAATCAATACTTGTATTTAGCAAGGATGCTTTAAAATGATCAGAAGTGATGATAAACACATTACAAAAGGTTTCTATTTCAGATAAATGCTGTTCATCTGAACTTTCTGTTCGCCAAAGAAACCTGAAACAATTCTACTCAACATCATAATAGAGCGGAGCCGAGTTTATCTTCATGTGGCGCTGTACAGTATCTTGAGTCGGAGGCACCAGAACTGTAACTAGAAGAATGTGCGCTACGATATTTCTTCAAAAGCAGATCGTGGAGACATTTTAATCGTCCACGATCAAAAATCGTCATATCGCACACCCCTACACTCGCAAAAATGCAACCACATCATATTTCAACTCGCACATTCTCAGAAAATTGTCGTATATGCGGCCATTTTGGTCTCAGTCTAGAGCTGTGATTAAGGTATGAAGAGTGAAAGATTGATGACTTCAATCGAGATGAGATTGTGAAAGTGAAACTGAGGCAGGATGCTCTCCTTTCGATCTTTACGAACCGTTTAATTCTTGGAGGACATCAGTCATCCTGATTGTACTTGTAGTTGTGCTCAGTGTGATTGCTGGAATACTGATAGCTGTGTTTGTCCATAAAAACGGAGGTAAAATGCTTGTTTTTTATTATTTTATTTATGTAAATAAAGCAGTGGCAATATACAGGCTAAACAAGAGCGGTGCGAGAATTGAGCCTTGTGGGACTCCGCATGTCATAGACATCCACTTAGACTAGCTGCATGATGTTACAAAAATGCAGAACAGAACTTTATCTACACATTTTTGTTTTGATAAACCACCTCATCTGTGAAACATGATGCTGAGGATACAACATTGTTTGAATTTGTCTTCATTAAATAATTTGGTAACACTTCAGAGACCAATTCTCACTATTAACTAGTTGTTTATTAGCATGCATATTACTAGCATATTGGCTGTTTATTAGTATTATAAAGCAGATATTAATGCCTTATTCTGCATGACCATATTTTACATCCCATAATCCACCCCATATAAACTTAACAACTACCTTACTAAGTATTAATAAGCAGCAAATTAGTTTATTGAGACAAAAGTTGTAGTTAATAGTGAGAATTGGTCCCCAAACTAAAGTGTGACCAATCATTTAATTCAGTATTAATGTCAAGTCTGTTTTCATCCTCAAAATATTTAATTAACAGACATTGTGATACTTTTGTGTATATCCTGTAATTTGTAGTTATTGTTCCTGAATCAAAAATTATATTTGTTGTCTGAATTGTGTTTTCTCTCGTCTTTATTCTGAATTTTCTTCAGCACACGATCGACTAGAGAAGGAGAAGAGAAGACTATAACAGGGTGAATCTGTCTTTATTAAATCATTTCATTCTGTATTAATGTCGTCTGTTTTCATCCACAAAGCATTTAATTAACAGGCATTGTGTTTTAATATATTTTTTGTGTATATCTTAGGTCCTGTAATTTGTTGTTCTTGAATCAAAAATGATATTTTTCTATTTGTTGTCTGAATTGTGTTTTCGCTCGTCTTTATTCTGAATTTTCTTCAGCACACGATCGACTAGAGGATGAACACAATCATCTACAGGATGAGAAGAGGAGAATACAACATGGTGAATCTGTCTTTATTATGTTATTTATTCATTATTCATTTAAAGTCTGTTTTCAGCAGTAAAATACAGTTTTAACTGTGTGCATTCAGTTATTTTGTGAATATCTTGGGTCTGGTAAATGGTCACCAGTTGTTTATATAATGTAGTGTGAAGACAGTTATCAATATAACTGATATTCACAATAGTAAGCAAAACCTGCTTTGTTTACGTTTCATATATCTGCATATATCTTTGTTTCGGTTTCTCCTTTTGAATGTCGAATATATACTATTGTTAGCTGCTGATATAGACTGCTCAACATGTCCTCAAACCAATACGCCCGCATAGGTTGTTTGTTGAAATCCCTGAAATACGACCCATCAGAGCGTATATACTACAGTTGTGCCCCTATCGGCAACAGGACTCTTTCATATTAATGCTTTGTACTCTTTTATCTGTGTCATAATTCGGGTTTCGTATAGCTCAGTTGGTAGAGCATCGCTTTATACGACGATATGCAACCATGTGATCATGGGTTCAATCCCAGAGAACGCACGTGCTCATAAAACGTATATATGCACTGTAATATGTAATATCTATAATACTGTAATATCCGGTGCCTGGACACCACGGACCCTGGGTCCAGCCGCAGCGGAAGACGCGAGCCAGGCATTTTGCTTGGTTGGAACAGCAGCTACGCTAATTATGTCTCTATGTGTTTCTCTGTTTCTGCTGGGATTAACATCCCGTGGTAACTAGGATTTACACAAGCTTCAGTCTGGATCCAGAACACCTGAGAAGAGATGATGCCAACCCCTCAGTGGTCCCGATATGGACTGATATCTATATTCTCGCTAACAATCTCAAACGAGTTCACATGCACAAGACATAAAATAAAATGTCAAATATATATATTTATATTTATTTATTTATGAGACGAAGAATGCAAATGGTTATGAAGGTAGACAATCAGATTTGAGCCACATTCAACTTCTGTGTGAACATCACCTTCATTTCACAGAGATGCCTATTTTCTGGTGCCATAAAAAAAATTAAAAGGGTTTATAGTAGTGAATTAATAGCACTTTAATAACAGGTTTCTATGATCCCACACAGTTTACAGTTGTAAGTACTTTTCATGTGTGAATCAAGGGTTACGTCTGAAACTCTTTACACACTAAATGCTTCTCTCTAGTGTGAATTCTCATGTGTGACTTAAGATTTCCATTTTGTGAGAAGCTATCCCCACACAGTTTGCAGGTGAAAGCCTTCTCTGTAGTATGAAGTCTCACATGAGTGTAGAGGCTTACTTTACAGCTGAAACTCTCTCCACACTGATGACACACAAAGCCCTTCTCTCTTGAATGTTCACTCTTCGTGTGGGAATTAAGTGTTTCAATGTATTTGTAGCCATGTCCAGACAGATCACGTGCGAACGACTTCTCTCCAGTGTGAACTCTCATATGGGACTTGAGGCTTTCTGCATATTTGTAACTCCTTCCACACTGATCACATGTGAATGGCTTCCCTGAATGAATGGTTATGTGTTGATTAAGGGTTCCTTTTGTAACGAAGCTCTTTCCGCAGTGTTGACATGTGAACGGCTTTTCTCCGGTGTGAATTCTCATGTGTTGTTTAAGGTTTGCTTTTAGTGTGAAACTTTTTCCACAATGTTGGCATGTGTACGGCTTCTCTCCGGTGTGAATTTTCATGTGTTGTTTAAGGTTTGCTTTTAGTGTGAAACACTTTCCGCAGTGTTGACATGTGAACAGCTGCTCTCCGGTGTGAACTCTCATGTGGGATTTAAGAGTTTCTTTATATCTGAAACTCTTTCCACACTGATCACATGTGAACGGTTTCCCTCCAGTGTGAATGGTTATATGTTTATTAAGATTTCCTTTTTTAGTGAAACACTTTCCACACTGATCACATATGAACGGCTTCTCTCCAGTGTGAATGATTACATGTTCATTAAGGCTTCCTTTTAGTGTGAAACTCTTTCCACAGTGCTGGCATGTGAACGGCTTCTCTCTAGTGTGAATTTTCATGTGTTCATTAAGGTTTACTTTTAATGTGAAACACTTTCCACATTCATGGCAAGTTAAGTAACTGGGAGGTTTGGTCTTCTGAACTGAATTGGTTTCAGTCGGTATGGATTTTTCTACAACAAAGAAATCATGTCTCTCATTTTGATCTTTCTCTTCTGTTTCTTTCAGTTCTTGACTCTCTTCTTTTATTGCCATCAGATCTAAAGTGAAAAAATGACAAATAGTTAATGGGAGTTTAATGGCTCAAAGCAACAGAGCGCAAAACCAAGATAAAAGTATTAAAACATCAAAACTAACATTATGCAACAAAACGTAACCTCGGTTCCCTGAGATACGGGAACGAGTACTGCATATTGCTAAAGACACTATGGGAAAAAGCCTTTTTTCTCCTGAACTGAAGCCTTTTTCAATTACGCAGTGTATTTAAAACAAACCAATGGCTTGGAAGCGGAGCAGCACGAGCCTATGGCGACAAAGACTCCCGCTCTTTAAAACTTGCTCTTGGAGGCTTGTAGGCATCCGTCGAGCGGCCAGAGGTGCAGTACCCAAAGCTCGGGCCAAGGGTGCCATATTGTCTCGTCCGCTTGAGAAAGGAAATCTTTCTCAACGGAATGGGCCAAGGGGCTGCTACCAGCAGCTGGGTCAGCTCTGATAACCAAAGTTGGTTCTTCCAGAGAGGGGCCACCAAGAGAACCTTGTGTCTCTGTTCCCTGATTCACCTGATTACCTGTGGGATCAGGGCAATTGGGGAAAATGCATAAAGGAGGAGGTTGGGCCAATCATGGGCCAACGCGTCCCTGATCTTCGAATAATAAATTGGGCAATGAGAGTTGTCTTCTGAGGTGAGGAGGTCTACCTCGGCCTCGCCGAAGATCTCCCAGATTCTCTGAACCATCTGAAGATGGAGCATCCACTCCTCTGAGGGAACATTGCTCCTTGATAACATGTCTGCTCCTCGATTCAATTTGCCCCGGTATATGCACTGCCCCCAGCGAGCGCAGATTGAGTTGAGCCCATTCCACAAGGATCCGTTTCAGCGTAGTCATCCTGAATTACCTTTTCATGTGGTCATGATTCAGGTGTCTGAGATTGAGGATGGGCCGGAGGCCACCATCCTTTTTGGGTATGAGGAAGTAATGAGGAAGCTGTAGAAGCCCGACTCGCTCTGAGCTGGAGGAACCGTTTCTACAGCTCCTTTTGCCAGCAGATTTATCACCGGAACGTAAGTGCACTAAGGTGGGGACCATGCCGCTGAAGCGCGGGGGTCTTTGAGCGAATTGGAGTGAATAACCTTGTTTTATTATCCCCATAACACATTTTGACACTCCAGGGCACTTGTGAGAAATGGAAGAGGAATTTTGCTCTCTTTTTGAAAATGTTTGTGTTTTATTTTTCCTGCTATAACAGCAGTTGGTTGCTTAGGCGCTTGAACGGGCCGTGTTCACAACAAACACATTTCCCTCTGCACCCAGGGTTGAAGAGGGTGATAGGAGGCTTAAGAGAGGCTGCTTGGGGGTGTGGTCCGGCTGCAGCGAGACTTGGCCCCATCCTCTTCCTGTCTCGCAGATCAGGAAGACACCTGAGGCGCCAGGTCCAACGCTATCTTGGGTCGGGGTCCCTGGCGCTTAGGAAAGGGGTAGCGTCTGGCCGAGCGGGAATGCCCTCGTGTCTGCTGAGTCTTAGCAGGCTGGACGGCTGGGCCGGCAGGTGCTGGCTTTGCGGGCTGCTGAGTCGGTGTAGACTTAGGGCGACTAGGGGCAGCAGCGAAGTGTCGCATAGCTTGGGACAACTTCTGTGCCTCCGTGAAGCGCTCTGCGAACCCTTCGACCGCAGGCCCGAAGAGGCCGTTGGGGAAGATCGGGGCATCAAGGAAAGGGGACCTTATCCACGTCCTTGATCTCCGTTAGCGTCAGCCATAAATGGCGCTCGAGCACCACAAGGCTGGCCATCGACATCCCGATCGCCTGAGCGGTTCAATCAGGATTTAAACATCATCATTATTGAAGTGTAGGGGATGTACAGTTAAGACCTAAGGACCTCATATGTTGAACTAAGACCAGGAGTCAGAGATGCAATTAACCGAAGAAAAATAGTAAATAGTTTGCGGTTTCATCAACAGAAGTCACTCGCAAGGAGTTCATAGGCCACTTTGCTATATAGGCTGTTTTACCGAACATATACGCTTAGTACATTTATGGACCTGGGAACATTACAGTTGTGTTCCTGTCTATGGGAGGGTCTGAGAGCTGTCAGATTTAAAGGTACAATATATGTTTTCATATTTTCATATAGTTTTCACCGCTGGAGAGTGCGTATTCAAAATAAACAAAGAAGCAAAGGCGTAGTTTGATGACGCCGTGACTGAGTGTGGAATCATGGGATTTGTGGTCGCAATCCAACGGAACTCGGGCAGAAATCATGTTCATAGATGAGCTAATGTATTAAAGATTTATTAATATCGTAGTATGAAGCAGAGCACAGAGCACGGAAAGCCGTCGAAGTGAAACGAGGCTGCTGAAGCAATTGCTAATGAGAGACGAGAGTGACACACGGCTGGAAAGCAGCGGGGCTTTTATTATGCCACAGTCGAGCGCTTCCGCTGCTTCCGGTCGTGCGTATGTGGGGTAAAGCAGCGGAGCTTTTATTATGCCGCAGTCGAGCGCTTCCGCTGCTTCCGGTCGTGCGTGTGTGGGGTAAAGCAGCGAGGCTTTTATTATGCCTCAGTCGAGCGCTTCCGCTGCTTCCGGTCGTGCGT